GGTGAGCGCTCTGTTCCCTGCGCGACGGGAACATCCGCCCCCCGCCTATGGCTCCGCCACCTGCGGTGCCGGAAGCGGACCACCAGGACGACGACGACGACATCCCGGAAGGGACTGGGGTAGACCTGAGAGTGGCGGTACGTAGGCTCAAGCCCAGGAATACCGCCCCAGGACCCGATGGCTTGCCTGGTAAAGCCTGGGTCCTGGCCTCGGAGGCTCTCAGGCACCGACTGGAGGGACTCCTAAGCGCATGCTTGGAGAGAGGCCAATTCCCGCTTCGTTGGAAGACGGGGAAGCTGGTCCTCATTCGGAAGCCGGGGCGCCCTGCGGACTCTCCGTCCGCATACCGGCCCGTGGTGCTGCTCGACGAGGTGGGCAAGCTCTTTGAAAGAGTCATTGCAAACCGCCTCGCCGAGCACCTTGCGGGGACGGGGCCGGATCTTGCGGAACACCAGTTTGGTTTCCGCAAGAGGCGCTCTACGGTGGACGCCATCATGCGCGTGAGAGCCCTCACGACGGGGGATGCAGTGGCCAGAGGGGGGGTTGTCTTGGCGGTGTCTCTCGACATCGCCAACGCCTTCAACTCCATGCCCTGGAGCTGCATTAGGGAGGCACTCCGGTATCACCGGGTGCCGACCTATCTCCGTCGTATAGTCGGGGACTACCTGACGGACACGGCCGTCATCTACCCCGGTCGCAACGGTGAGTGGAACCGGCGAGAGATGTCGTGCGGTGTCCCACAGGGTTCGATTCTGGGGCCACCTCTGTGGAACATCGGTTACGACTGGGTGCTGCGCGCCGACCTCCCTACCGGCGTCAGCGTAGTTTGCTACGCTGACGACACGCTGGTATTGGCACAAGGGGGGGTCGTACGAGGCGGCGGCGGAAAATATGACACGCGGGGTTGCGATAGTCGTTGAGAGAATTCGGCAACTGGGTCTCGAGGTGGCTCTGCACAAGTCCGAGGCCATGCACTTACATGGTCCTCGGAACAGGCCACCACCGGGATCCTCAGTGATGGTAGGAGGGGTATCCATCGGCGTCGAGTCGACGCTGAAGTACCTAGGGCTCGTCCTCGACGGCCGATGGAACTACGTTGAGCACTTCCGACGTTTGGCTCCCAAACTGGAACGGACCGGGGCTGCCTTCAGGCGGCTCCTGCCGAACCTGGGAGGGCCAAACGCCTCCTGCCGGAGGCTCTACGCGGGGATCGTGCGGTCCATGGCCCTTTACGGGGCCCTGGTGTGGGCGCGTGGTTTGGCGCGGCTTGCCGTCCACCACCTGAACGCGCCCCAAAGGGTGATAGCCGTGAAAATGGTTCGCGGCTACCGCACGATCTCCCGCGAGGCGGCGAGCCTCCTTGCCGGATTGCCGCCATGGGATCTGAAGGCGATAGTCCTCGCGCGCCTGCACGAATGGCGTGCGGAGGCACAGTGGCGTGGGGAAACCCCGCTGCCGCGGCAAGTTGTCGCGCAGCGGACAGACTTCCGGCACGATCTCATGGCGACATGGAGACAGCGACTGTCGCAACCCCGTGCTGGGCACGCCACTATAGCGGCGATAAGACCCCTCTTTGAGGAGTGGCTTGAGAGACGCCACGGCATCCTCACCTTCCGCCTGACGCAGGTCCTCACCGGACACGGTGTGTTTGGGAGGTTCCTGCACCGAATCGGGTGGGAGGAAACGCCCGGGTGCTCCCACTGCGAGGATGGACCGGAGGACACGGTGGAACACACCGTGGAGGTGTGGCCTGCTTGGGCGGAGCACCGCCGTGTCCTCGTAGCGGCGATAGGCGGCGGCGACCTCTCGCGTCCGGCCCTGGTCGACGCCATGGTCCGGAGCGAGACGGAATGGGATGCCGTCACCACCTTCTGCGAAGCAGTGATGCTAGCGAAGGAGGTGGCGGAGCGGGAGAAGGAGAGAGCAGCAGCTTTCCTCCCCGGCCGCCGCGGGAGACGCCCCGGGCGTCGGGGGCTACGTCGTGGCCCCCCGGCCACCGTAGGCGCGGGCCTGTGGACGGCGAGCAATGGGTAGCTCGTCATCCGTCCGTCTAATGACGACAGGCCGTGTCGACGGCGCGTTTTGTTCCACGCGCGCCTCAAAGAGCTGTCAGCAGCGTGAAGGGGCCCGCAAGGGCCAACGCCTGCCGGGGCTGCGGGCTGTTCGAAAGAGATACCGCGGCTCCGGAACGTAAGGGCACTGAAGGAACACGGATGGTTTTTAGTCAGTAAAAGTCTGACACTCCCTTACGCTCCACCCAGAGCGAAAGGGGTCATTAGATGATTTTCCATCCGCAAAAAAAAAAAAAAAAACTATAGATAAATTTGTTGAGTGGAGTACAATTAAAAAAGTGGTAATATCCTATTTGGTTTAGTCAGAGTCTGATTAATGTAATGAAGGAAAAAATAAGGTGAGGTCTAGGTATAAAAAATATAATAACGCAATGGATTTACTCAGCCTAAAGTTACTTAATAAGAGATGTGATAAATTAGCTAAATTCTAAGGTTTAATGGTCTTACATCAAAAATTAACTGCACGGCAATAATAAGTATCCGAGTGCAATGTCTAATAGTAGTGTAATGATAAGGCAGGACTGATATATGCAATCATTTTGCCTCTCATTTCTCCTAACAGTGGAGAATCCTAACAGTCTTAATAAATGATTCAAATAACCAATATTTAACATATTTAGAAAACAATAATCATCATTTTGGCACTTTGGTTTAGGATGAAAAATCAGTGCTAAACAAAATTAAAGGTTTAGACCGAAAAAAGGAGCTGGTCCAGGCTCCATTTCACCTTATTAAATCGCTGAACGTGCCATAGAACTATCTACTCCTCTTTGTTTTATATAAAACAAATCCTTACAACCAGGACGCTTTCCAGATAATATGTGGAAGCTCGCAAAAGTTGTCCCTATACATAAAGCGGATGATGATACTTTAGTTAGTAACTATAGACCATTTACAATATTATCAACCTTTCCAAAATATTTGATTCATTAGTTGGTCCCTATATTCAATAACATAACATGGATTTGTCAAATTTCGTTCAATTTGCTCTAATTTAGTTACGTTTGATATCGATCATATCTTTGGCAGTTCTACAATTTGCAATTTTATTCGCAATCTTGCTGTTTACATTTAAACCCATCAACGTTTGAGCTTCGACATCTTTCTTTATCCAAGCTAAAACGTTTGCTTCTAACGCAGCACCAGCTGGTCTGGGCTTTGCACCTGTTAGAATTTCGTACAAGTCCTTACTCTTAAGTGCTAGGTTTAATTTAAATCGCCGTGAAATGAAATTGACATTTCCCTGACTATCTTCACTTAACATTTCCAATTGAGACTTTACAGTATCCATTTTGCTTTGAATTTTATAATTTAACTGACTTCTGACAATTTTTAACTAAACAAAATGAATTTATAAACTTTCGTGGCGATTTTCTGACTTAAAGCGACTTGCGTGTACGTTGCTCAACATTGCCTTGCTGTGTAATGGCTGTTTCGGTGTAGCTGATTTGTAGGTTATGTCGGTCGCGCCGGTTCTGACACTCTGGACTGCTTTTCTCGACTTTCCGTCGCTTTCCTGACCTGACTTCCAAAGAAACCCTTTCACGGCTGTCCTGGGCCCATAACCTGTTAATTCAGTGGGTTTGGGTTCTTTGTTGACAAATGATGAAGTTCAAAGTTGACAAATGTTCGTTTATTGAGCAGAGTTTCAAAAGGTACTTTTTGAACAATCGACGGATTGTTGTCCAATACTTTACAATTTTCAGAATTACAATTTGGAGCACGTTTGCCTTTCGCCATCCAGTTTCGCTTTGTTGCTGTTACATTAAATTATCAAAAGGTAGGCTTGTCGCTTGCCAACTTAATTACACAAAATATGAGAATATATTTGAATACATAATTGCCAACTTTGACTATATATAAAACGAAAGTAAAGTGTGAAGTAGGATAGGATCAAAGTTGGGTTAGGTAAAGTCAGCTGTCAATTGATCAATTCTCAACACTCCTCCTTGATCAATTTACAGCGGAGCGTCTCAAAGACTCTTCTGTTGAGTGGCTTGGTAAGAATGTCTGCAATCTGCTTGCTGTCAATTGATCAATTCTCAACAAAAAGATAAGAGTGCAACGTTCTAAGGGGTTATTATGCACAGAAGAATATAATCCTATACCTTTAAAGGAGCAATTCTTGTATATATATAATCGGAATCTCGGAAACGGCTCCAATGATTTTCATAAAATTTAGTGTCCAGGGAGTTTCGGGGGCAATAAATCGATCTAGCTAGGATTTATTTTTAGAAAATGTCTTTTTGTCCGTGTTTTCAGGCAATGAAAAACTGCTACAATATAAGAAGGTAATTTTTAATACTTTGACAATGATCGTAATAGCTCAAGCGGATATCGAGAGGTCGCAAAAACGTAATGCCTTGGTTCGCGTCTCGTCTTCGGTCCGATTTTTTTCCTTTTTTTTTCAAGTTTTTAAAAATACGAAAATATTAATTAAACTAATTACACTCATGATTTTTTTATTCAAATAACCAGTTAAGTTTTTTCTATTATGTCAATAAGATCAAAAAATATTATTCATCAGTATGTAATTTGTATCAAAATGTTATTTCAAAAAAAAAACCAAGCAAAGCTCGGTCATCCGGGTACTTGTAATTTATATAAGTAAGATAAGTGGAAAAAATTTAAAGGATTACTATAAATGTAATACAAGTGAATAAATAATACTCTTATGAATATAATTTCAATTCTTAAAATGATTAAAATAAACTGCTGTTGCCAACCCGCTTGCCGAACGTCGCAACTATGCCAAGCGAATTTAAATAGACAGTAACGGTAACGGCAGGGTATTCAGATGGTAGAGGTCTACATGAGGTGTATATAACTTAAATAAAACAAAATGTTTTTATTATGATGAACTATATCTATATTGAAGTATTTTTTACACAATCTTTCTTTTATTTAATTATAAAATCTTAAACAGATTTAATAACTGTCTACTCTTGGGCTAACATATTTTTCATCTCCTTTTAGTTTTCCTTCAGCAATTTGTCTGTCCCTTTCCTTGCGCATGGCCTAAAAATAACACAAACAATTTAATAAATTTACTGAGTCTCTCGCCCTTAAAATGTGTCAATTATAGTACTATTTATCATTTATTTTAAACCTTAGATTATAGAACAAAAGACACTCAGAGTGCGCAGAACAGGGGAGTGTAGCCAACAAATCAAATACAAATTCAAAAGCAAAAACAAATTCTAGTCAGACAAAACAAAGCATTGGCTCATTATGGATTAGTACATATGTAAGTGGCCTACAATTTTAGTAAGTTATGACTTAATTAAAAATTCAAGGTCTAGCACAATAACCAATAAACATTAGTTTTAATGAAGCAACCATTACTCTTTGAAATTAATAGATTTCAATAAAGCTTTTTCTGTTAATAATTGCAATTACACTGCTAGAATATATCTACCTACTCAATTAAAACTGACACATTCATGAACATTTCAATTCAATACCAGTTTAAAATAGCAGCATAATCCTTAGTTTAAAAATTAGTGTACGTAGAGAATAGTAGATTCTTTTTACTGCAAACAAGACAATCCATCTGAATTTAAAGGGGATGACAACACATTTGCATTTCGATTTTTTAAATACGTGTTTGTATTAAAAATCCTTTTTTGTCACAGCATCCACTTACCATCCATTAGATTGTGTAATCGCTTCTCACACTAATTTTATTTAAAAAACTTCTACCATGTTGTCATGACCTCAACTGTACGAAACTTACAATCAATTTGAATGTCCAAATGTTAAATATGGAATATATATTATTATAATTAGTCTATAAAATTTTAATGCATAATATAGCAGAATTGTGTACTTGTAGAGTTATTAATTTTTATAATTTAATTATTACTACTACTAATGTTCTTAAATTTTTACAGAATATAAATAATCTTCTATAAATCTTTTATGTAATTATGTTACATTATTTATGAAATATACTAAATTTTTTTGTCTTGTCAAATATTTAATAAACAAAAATAATGTGTGGTGTCACATTATTTTTTTTACCAATTATTTGATTACTTCCTTCACAGACAGATGAGCTAAGAAATGTTAAAATTAAAAATGTGGTATAGTTAAAAAAATTTGAAGTTACAGCTTATATACATCCCAAAGCTGAACACAGGCTTCTTCTCATTTCTGAGACAGTTTTAGGGCAAGAAAATGTCCCCCACGCTGCGCCAATGCTTGTTGGCGAACTTCACATGTCTTTGAAATATCTTTGGCTAAGCTTTCCATTGACGTCCGTCGAGTTGGGGGTTGATATTTTTTTTACAGAAAGGTTACATTAATATAAGCACACACGTAAAGTTTCAACATGCGGAAAAGCGTACTTTTTGAGAAAAAAATTATTGAAAATCAATTATTTTTGCAATATTTATGTCAATCCCTATCTCAGATTATATGATATTTTTTTTACAGAAGGGTTACACTATTGTAAACACACACGCAAAATTTCAACATGCGGAAACGCGTACTTTTTGAGAAAAAAATTATTGAAAATCAATTATTTTTATGGAGGACGGAGTGCAGAGTTGGCACGTGGAATGTTAGAGGGGGCATGAGAGATAAGACGAATGAGTTGATCGAAATAATGAAAGTAAGAGAATTAGATGTCGTGTGTATGTCGGAGACCAAACGGAAAGGCAGTGGTACTGAAGAGCTCCCTGGCGGGACGTTAGCTATATGGTCCGGAGTCCCGGAAAGCGAGAACGCCTGCCAGGGAGTGGGGGTGCTGTTTTCGTCCCGGTTGGTCGATCTTATGACTGAATACAAGGTTGTGAACTCAAGACTTCTCTGGGTTCGCTTTAAACTGGGACTGACGAAGTTATTCCTTTTGGCTGTTTATGCGCCGGTAGCTTCGTCGTCCAGGGCTGAGCTGGAGGAGTTTTGGGAGAATGTAAGATCAGTTCTAGATTTGGTTAAGGAAAACGAAAGAACTGTTGTATGTGGTGATTTGAATGGATGGGTAGGTATCGCTCGACCAGGATACGAGTCGGTGCTTGGAAAGTTTGGCGATAAAAGGGTTAATGATGCTGGCAAGCTTATACTGGCTGTATGCAAGGAAAAGGGTCTTCTTGTGACAAACACTATGTTTAATCACAGGAAAATCCATATGTACACTAGAGAAAGAAAGAATGAGAGAAGTATGATTGATTTGTTCCTGCTGGATGACCGACTGCGAAAACAGGTGATGGATACACGAGTGTTCAGGGGTGCTGACCTGGGAACGGATCACTATCTAGTAATTACTAGATTTAGGGGTTTGTTCGCGGGTTGGCGCTACCGGACGGCAGTAACAGAACCACAGTCGGTCTGTCGCATCCGAAGCTGGAAGCTTCAGGAAGCGGATACTAGGGACAAATATCACTCGAGGGTAGCCGAAAAGCTTGACACCATCGATGGCAGGAAAGAATGTGTGGAGAGAACATGGCAGAACCTTAGGGATGGAATGGTAAGTGCAGCGGAAGAAGTATGTGGAACGACAAAAAGAGGTAGTAGTAAAAGAAGAGATGCATGGTGGAATGATGAAGTGAGAGAAGCTGTAAAAAAGAAGAAAAGAGCATGGTTATACTACTTGGCCTCTAGTAACAATAAGCATATGAGAGAGAAGATGAAAGAAAGATATAAGCTGCAGAAAGTTCATGCGAAAACATTGATTGAGGAAGTACGTGAAAGGTGTAGAATAGAAGAGGACGAGAGGTTGTCGCACAACTTTAAGGAAAACTCCAAACTCTTCTGCAAAGAGGTTGGAAGGTCCCGGAGTGGTGCGACAGCCTTAAGAATGAACAAAGTGCTTTCGAGAACCAATGACGTCCTCTCAGAAAAATCGGACGTCATGCAGCGATGGAGTGAATTTTATAGAGAAATGTATGAGTGTCATGATCTTAGTGAAGGATCCGGGGGTGACGCCATGACTGGCAGGCCAGACACGGATCTCGATGACACTGAGGTCATCAGCATGAAAGAGATTGAATGTGCGATTCGAAGTTTGAAATGTGGTAAGGCTGCGGGACTAGACAAAGTTACTGCTGGAATGGTCAAGTACGGTGGGCCTCGCGTCTGGGACAGCTTTCGTCTGCTGTGCAATTTGTGCTGGCGGATGGGAGATGTCCCGGATGATTGGCGATCCGCGGTCATTGTGCCTTTATATAAAGGTAAAGGTTCACATTTTGACTGCAGGTGCTATTGGACGATCAGCTCGACCAGTTTAGCAAGTAAAGTTTACTCGAAGGTTTTGACACGTAGGATGCAAGAGAAATCGGAAAGATTCTTATGGGAGGCACAATGCGGATTTAAACCTGGAAGAGGATGCACGGATCAAATGTTTTCTCTCCGCATGATCACGGAAAAGCTTCTGAGTGTTAACCAGAGGATTTTCTGTGCTTTTGTGGGTCTGGAGAAAGCATTTGATAAGATTATAAGGAAGAAAATGTGGGAACTGTTGCCGGGATATGGTGTGGATGGTCGATTGTTAAGGGCTGTGCAGTCACTTTACTATGACTGTAAAGCCTGTGTGCGGGTAGGGCATGACCTGTCACCCATGTTTAGCGTCCAAGCGAGCTTAAAACAGGGTTGTGTCATGTCTTCCTGGCTGTTCATAATGTATCTCGACAGCTGTTTACAGAAGCTGAAAAATAGCTGTTTGGGTGTGAAATTGGGTGACATTAAAGTAAATTGTCTGCTGTATGCTGATGATGCAGTGCTTATTGCACCATCAGAAGCAGAACTGCAGGTATTAGTCACGTGTATGAAAGAGGAATGTGAAATTAAAGGTCTCCGTTTGAATGTTAATAAAACTAAGGTTCTGGTATTTGAAAAGGACGAGGAGAGAACGAAATGTGAAATATGGGTAAATCAGGAATGTCTAGAACAGGTAAATGAAATTGTATACTTGGAGAGTGCTTTCTGCCGGGATGGAAGATGTGATTTAGATGTGGATAGGCGTGTCGCTGCCGGAAACAAAGTCAATGGTGCCCTGAATGCATTAGTTAAAAGGCAAGGCGTGGTGAAGAGTGCACGCTTTGCAATACATAACGCAGTGTTGGTACCGACTTTGTTATATGGCAGCGAAACCTGGGTATGCCAGAAGAAGCATAAAAGCAAGTTGAATGCAGTGGAGATGCGATCTCTTCGTAAAATGTGTGGCGTTACCATAGCCGATCGAAAGCGAAACGAAGAGATTCGCAATATGGCAGGATTGAAAGATGACCTTATCACAAAAATTGATAGGGGCGTACTCCAATGGTTTGGACACGTTGAGCGAATGAGTGAAGACCAAATGGTGAAGAAAATATATAGAGCGAAAGTAAATATTAAAAGGTGTCGAAGACCATGTGAGCAAATTGCTCGAAGAGGGGAAGGTCAAGAGTACTCGGATACCTAGACGTGCATGTATGAAGAAGTTAATGAACCTGAAAGAAGCGAAAGAGGTATGTAAGGATCGTGACACTTGGCGATCTGTTCTCTCTGGCTACCCTGTTAGGGATTGTGCGTGAAGATAAGTAATTATTTTTATAATATTACGTCAATCCTTACCACAGATTACATCAAATTCTCGCCATTGAACGTTCGTTTTCCGTACGGTTAAGTTGTCATACGTTCGGTAGCATTTTATTGTACACTTTACGTAAATAATTATATTTTGTACTCATTTAAATAGTTTTCATGCATACACATATATTTAACAGTTTATATTTAAATTACAGAATTATTATCATTATGAGCTATTAAAATTAAAATGTGTAGTGTTTACCTTTTTTTTGCCGGCTTGTGGGACGTAACATAAAACTGACGATTTCTAAGAATTAATTAAAGCAATATGTGTATAAAATTGTATAAAACATGTGTATAAAACAGTACCCACCTATTAGGACAGATAACAAATAAAATAGGTTAGGTTCAACTTATGTCAAGGAACCGAATCAATAGACCCCGACTCCACGTGGTACGAGTCTGTCCTACCCCTAGAGTGTTTTTATAGAGCCGGAGGTGTGTAGGGAGCCACTCGTCTCCGCAGCTTCGGCTTGTTAGTCGCCTTCGGCGACCAGCCTCAGCCGCTCCGGCTTGTCCGATGCCTACGATTTGTTACGCAAAGGCGTAGAGGCTGCTCTTCCCGCAGCGCTGGAGATGTTGCAGTCTCAAAATAGATACAGAAATCCCTCTGAATGAGACGCTCTATTTATTTTTGGTGAAGGGGGTTCCCCCTTCCTTAGGGGTACCCCCTTCCCCCCCAAAAGAGGTCCCCATGGTTTTTTACACTTAATATTTATCCATAAAAAATAAAATTTCCTCAGAATTAAAATTGTAAAAACTCAAAAAGGTCCACAACTTTTCTTTTAAGGGGGAGTAGTACACCTCCCCCCCGCACTCCCCCCCCCTCCCACCTCAAATTCGACGGACGTCAATGGAAATTCGTACCATATGTTTCTTACTTATTTCTCAAAAATGCAGGTTTCTCCACAATGTTCCTTCATCACTATGCATGTGGCAATTTAGCACTTCAAATTGCAATTAACAACTTCATAGGTGACAGAGGTGATCAAACCCGGATTACTAGCTAACTACAAAATTTTATGTGAACAATCAGTCACTGCACAACTGCAATATGTATCCAAAAAAATGTATCTCACTAATTACGGGCTTCACACATATCGATTGGAGGTATTTCTCATTCCTTTGTCAAGCAAATCATCATCTTCCTATTTTTTATTAAGTTCATAACACTTAAAGAAAATTCTAAATGACTAGCATGCAAATAAACAGGCATTCAGCAAATAGTTCAGCTTTGAACAATAAACATATTATGTAAAGAAATTACAAACCATAAATCTTTTAAATTGTTTGGTCATAGTCTGACATTCGTGAAAATCATCAAATAAATGTGCACATTTGACTCGGCCTCTGTCCAAGCCGTAAGCTTCCAAGCAGTCCATATAGCGGGCTTCTTGTTTTTGACATCGTCCCAACATTTGATGGGACACCATACCACCGGTTATATCCGTAAAAGGAGATCGAAAAAATGGTGAGATTGACATTATAAACCTTAAAACATAAAATAATGTAAACAAAAACATATTAGTTTATATATATAAGATATTAGGTTATGAATTACGTAAACATTTCGACCCTAAAAACAAAATTATGTACATATAGTTCATAATTTGCATATTTTTCATAATAACGTTACACTTCATTAAATCCAAAAATTGAAATAGGTACCTTGTTTATTCAATCTAGAAACAACATAAGACGAAAACTGGATAATTGAAACAAGTCAGAAATTTTAAATTTACTAAAATATGTCAAATCTCAATTATGTCAATGTACGTCAAATTCAAATAAGGACCATGAGACAGAGACAGATACTCTGTATACCCACAAACCGTAGCCACAAACTAATAAGAAAACTAACGTACCTATACCATATTAAATGTGAGAGTTTTGTAAATACATACTTGTGGCAGGATGTCCCGCTCTTCTATAGCTAGAATTACATTTTTTGTTTATTATTTAACTAACTTTTAACATTTTATAAACACAAAAAAATAAAAGTAACTAAGCCATTTAATAAGGGTTTTGTATAAGCGTGTGTGTTTGTGTTTGTTGTGTGTGTGTGTGTGTGTGTGTGTGTGTGTGTGTGTGTGTGTGTGTGTGTGTGTGTGTGTGTGAGTGTGTGTTTGTGCGTATGTATATTTACTAACTTTTAATAAAACAAGTGCTTTGATGGCGATATAAACCTCAAGTTATTTTGATCGCCTGGGCGCCTTATGAACTTGAGTGGCTGTCGTCATCAACTGTCCACTGGGTTGAGCTATCGTCAAAATCTCCCAAGGGCTTCGCAATGTGTTGCATCAGCATAATATAGAATAAATCAGCAGAATATATAAAAGAATACAAAAATGAAGATTCCAAAAGTGAAAAACTGTAGTTTGCTAAACAACTTTGAAAGCGTAGCGATCTAAGGAGTTTACAAGTCAGTTTAAGTGAGAAAAAAGTGTTTTGTGAGCCTAAGATTGGTGAATCTTGTTCAGTTCAGTTCTTAGAACAATTAAATTTTTTGTCTAAATGTGTTTAAAAGTCATAAATATTACTGTATAACCTAAAAATTCGTTATCGTCCTTTCTCACTCAAGGCCACGCCGATCATTAGTCTATAGGTTTCTCTGTCTACGAGAGAGCTTCGGTCCGTGCCGATTTGAAGCGCTACCATTTTCGTCCCGGGAACTAAAAGTGACAACATATGACTCTTTTAGTTCCCGGGACGTCTTTCAGGAGTATGAAGGTCATGAAGGTTAGAGAACAGGAGAACGATCGCCGTAGAAAATAGTGTCCCAGAACGATCACTAAGTTCGGTCAATAAAAGTCATTTTTAGTTTATTTTTCCGATCAGATGCTAAACCGTTTGCACATCCACGCACAATAAAATATTTCTCCATTTTTAATGTTTCTTTTTGTCAAAAATTACAAAATTACGGAGCATGAAAATTTTCTCATTAAAAATGAAATGAAAATTTGTACATTATTCAACTAACTTCATCTACTTGTACTCATAAACAGCTAACTTCGCAGTCACTACTCACCAACGTCAGCGCCGCTTTATATTCTACAATTTTCAAGGACAGGCGGGCTATGCTTTTAGTACGTAGTGATCGTTCTCCTGTTCTCTAACCTGCATGATGGAGGTTAGAAAACAGGAGAAGGATCACTGTTTATATGGTGTCCCAGAAATATGGACAAAATAAGTGAGGCGCTGCGATCGCTAACCTGTCTCCGTAATGTTTTTTATAATTTTAATTATTATGAATATTATAAATATAAATTATTAATTATTATCGGTTTATTATTATTATTACTTTATTTATAATATTTCAACATTTTAATGTTTCTTTTGGTCAAAAATTAAAAATATTAATTAGCAGATGTTACTTACCGACGGACGCGCGGCTATAAATTCTACAAATTTTTAGGGACAGGCGGGCTATGCTTTAGCACATAGCGATCATTCTTCTGTTCTCTTACCTCCTATAAGTCCGTTGTCTTATTTAAATCGTATCTCTATGTTTTGAACTTTTAAACTAAAAATTGAAAGTATTTTGTTTGGTTTGATTCTGTTTGATTTTAGTTACATAATAAGCATTATTTTCAGTTATAATGAGAGTGTGCGTAATATATAAAGCTCGTTACCAAAAGGAAAGTGGTATAACATTCCAAAAGTAAGTGAATTTGCAGCTAATGTTAAACAGATTAAACTGTTTGATAGTACATGTACTTAAAAACTTGTAACTAATCTTAATATCGTAATTACCAACATGTTTGGCTTTATATTACCTAAGTTTTGATAAACAATAAAACTCAATAGGGTTATTGAGTTTCTTGTCTATAATACTTATCGATGTTCTTTATTACTCATATCTGTTAATATCCAAATTCAAACATAATCAAAAACAGATAACTATCAAATGTTTATTAATTAACAGGTTTCTAACTAAACGAAAATAAAAATTGTGAATTGGCGTCCGAAACAAAATTATTATCTTTGTTCTAAAGATTTAGTATGGCAATTGGCGATGCACCACTCGACTATTCTCCATGACTTTGGAGAGGCTGCAACACTTAGTGGCTCTGAGGTTCGAGTGCTCGTTTTTCCCATATTCAGTAATAACAGGGACACCTACTATACTGACCACTGACATAAGCTTATATGGTTATGACCATAGTATTATCCATTTATTAAAACTGAACAACATACTATTTGCAGATTCCCTATGAATCCAAAGATTAGGGAAAAGAGGTTGCGAATTTTAGATACTTGGAATTGGACTCCGCTAGAATCTATGATATGTAGCAATCACTTTCATCAACGCTGCTATTGTGGTCTGAAAATAAGGAAATTAAAAAGTGGTTCTGTTCCTACTATTTGCTAATATATCAGCATAGGTAAGAAAAAGCAAAAGCCTTTTTAAATCGTTCAGATGATCTATTTGTTATACTTGTCAAATTAAACATTAATGATAGTGTTGTTTAAATATTAAACCTGTACCTAGCTTATCTGCTTATACTACATTAATCAGTGGTATTGGAGGGGCTTCAAGAAAGATAAAGAAAAAAGTTAAAAAATATACATGCTCAAAAAATATAAAATCTAAAATAATTCAACATATTATATAATATATTTCTATAATAAAATTGTCTGCCTGTTTGCCATGTACATAAAAAATAATAATAATATTGTTTTGCAATATATTAAAAATTTCTTTATTTTTTAAGTGTAGAGATCTCACAGTTTTACATTTTCAACATAATGATTTAAAATTATTAATATATTATTATTATCATTCGTTAATATATATTATTTTTTCTCATTTCTGGATGATCAGGATTCAATAAACAAATGAAAGTACTTATAAGTGAAATTGATCATTGGGAAGTTTTTTAAACAAATGAATTAAGAATGAATAATAATAAATTAATTAATGGACACAAATTGCAAAATGTAAATACGGACAGCATTCGACAATTTTATAATAAAAATATTATTAATTGTTATGTATCAATATCCGGAATCCATCTTGAGTCAAGCACTTGTCTTTCTACCTAAAGCCAGCACTTCCGGCTACCTTACCTGCATGGAGAGGGCACCCCACCACTGTTTTTGCTTTGTTATTTAAGTAGTGATGAGCACCAGGTCTCGACATTATAGCGTTGTTTTTCGCGCCTTTCACAAGTCAGCATTTGTAAGCACGTAAAAGTTTCAATTTTACTAAAACTAAGTGATAAATAACTACTCTACTGATAAAATATGGAGGAACGAAGTGTCGACGAAATTACATTATTAAATTCTCAAAAACGTGTGCGTACTTCATCATCAAGTTCGGATAGCAGCGATTCGTCAGAAAACAGTGTTTGCAGTCAAACAAGGAGACACAAGAAAAGAAAAATGGATCAAACCGTGAGTAATGAACATTTTGAATATTTATCCCAGCAAGTGGCCTTTTTAACTAATATTATTACAAAATCTAGTGAAGTTACGTGCCAAAATCAAAAATAGTCCCTTCACTTAATCTTAACTTTCACCGACCTACAACAGAAGGTGGTGACAAAATAAACCAGCTCAAGCTATCAGATTTAAGTACCACGGTAAAAGATCCTATTTATCCACGTGCAAATAACACATTTAAAAAAATTAGTAGAATTACAGCATTTTAATTGTGATGATTGGTATGCGGTACGGTTTATCGATGCCCAGAAGAAATATTTATCTACCCCCGGTTTTGTCGAACGTGCTGTAAATGATCGCTAAAACGATTTGAATCTGCAATGTTGCGTGATGATCCTCGTTCTTATTTGCTAGAACGTTCCTTCGCCGGATTAAATAACGCTTTACTTTGCCAAAAAGAGAAATCACAAATAGCATTACAAGCACTAGTAGATTGGGCGAGGTTTTGCAAAAAATCCCTCCTAACGTAAAAATTCTGTTCAACACGATTCCATTCAGACCTACCGTCGGAAAATTGGAGGAGCAGATAAATTGATCACTTCATCCCGATCAATGGCTCGTACTCAAAAAGATTTTTTTATGCAAATCAAAAGCCATCGACGAGTAAACAAGCTGATGATATTTTTTCATCGAAGCAATCCCTCGAAAAGAGGAAAACATGCACCACGCACATCACACCAAACGAATCAAATAAATCGGGCAAAAATAAACAAAGAGGAAAGAAATCGCAGTCGCATTCTTCCTTTAAAGATGACCGTCGTAAATGACTCGTCAAAAATTTTATGGCGGCTGTCTGAAACAATTTCAAAGTGTTTGGAGCAATTTAGGCGCACCGAAACAAATAGGCCGACTATTAAGCGGCTCGTACATCACATTCATACTCAAGCCGCCTTTAATACTTCCAAATCAAATTGTGATTCAGAGCTACAGGACCAAA